GTTTGGGGTGGTGGTCAGGGGGTAGGGGTGTGGATAGGGGTCAGGGTGGTCAGAGGGTGGGGAACAGGGGGGTTGGATGGGGCAGGGGTCCCGGGGGGGCAGTCAGGAAGGAGAGTAGGGGTTGGATGGGGCGGCGGGGGAAAGTCAGGGGTGGGGGGGTCTGCGAGCGGTCAGGGAGAAGGGATGGTTGGATGGGGCAGGGATTCCAGGGGGGCAGTCAGGAAGGAGAGGAGGGGTTGGATGGGGTGGCGGGGGGAAGTCAGAGGTGAGGAGTCCGGGGGTGGTCAGGGGACGGGGGGGTTGGATGGGGCAGGAGTTCCAGGGGGCTGTCAGGGGGCGAGAAGCAGGGGGGGTTGGTAGGGGGCAGGGGCTGGGCCACGCCTGGCTGTTTGGGGAGGCACAGCCTCCCCTAACTGGCCCTCCATACAATTTTAGAAACCTGATGTGGCCCTCAGGCCAAAAAGTTCCCCCCCCCCCGTTTTATAGTCTAACTTTATAACTGCTGAACCAAATCTGTTCAAATTTATCTTGTTTTATAGATCTCAGTGAGATTTAAAAATCATTCCAACACTGAACACAATATGTACTTGACTATAACTTGCAGAATGCAAGATGATATAAATGTTTTTTCTTAAAGATATTATAATATATGACAAAGAACTAAGAAAGCTATAAAGAGAAACCTTTTAAAGGCCTAAACAAAACAGACATCAAAGAAGGTTGAGCTTTCAGAGTTACCTGCATTTCTTGACTTTTGCATGCTTGATTTCTCAACCTTAATTTTGCATTAACACTAGTAGTTTGCATGGAATTCTCTCTAATATAGTGAAAGTAAACTGTTACTGTGACCTTGTAAAAGATTTGGAGGTTGTGATGGCTAATCAGCCGAATATGCGCTTCCTATTGTGATGCTGCAAACAAAAGGGCTAATGCAATCATTGGATGCATAAATAGGGAAATCTCGAGTAGAAGTAGAGAGGTTATTTTACCTCTGTATTTGGAACTGGTGCGAGGATTCAGAGATTCAGAGAAAAGCCATGAGAATTATTAAAGGATTAGAAAACATGTCTTATAGTGATAGACTCAGTGAGCTGAATCTATTTAGTTCAACAAAGAGAAGGGTAAGGGGTGACTTGATTACAGCCTATTAGTACTGACATGGGAAACAAATGTTTAATAACAGGCTCTTCAATTTAGCGGAGAAGGGAATAACACAATCCAATGGCTGGGAGATGAAGCTAGACAAATAAAGACTAGAAATAAGGCATAAATTTTTTAACAGCCAGACTAATTAACCATTGGAGCAATTTATCAACAGTCGTGGTGGATTCTCCATCACTGACAATTTTTAAATCAACACTGGATGTTTTCTAAAAGATGTGCTCTACGAATTATTTGGGGGGAAAATCTGTGGCTTTTGTTATAGGAGGTCAGACTAGCTGATCACAGTGGTCCCTTCTGGCTGTGGAATCTATGAATCAATGACCTAAGCCCCTTTCCACCTCTGCACTGGTCTGCTGAGTGGGCTGGATACATTATGAAAAGCAGGGTACACTGTTCTAACGGAGCACAAGCATGTATCTTCCCTTGTGCAACTGTGAGCTAAAGGAAGGATCCATCCATCCATCCAGGAACAATCCCACCTGAAGTTCTCTCTAGGATGACTCAGCCCCACACTGTCGCCTTCTCAGAACTATCGCTAACTACCTCAGTCACCTCAGAGTTGGACAAGGTCTTTGTTCATAGACTTTAAGGTCAGACAGGACCTTTATGATAAAATCGTCTGGCCTCCTGCATAGCACAGACAACAGAATTTCACCCAGTAGTCGAGTCCTGCATTGAGTCTGTATCTGGTGATTATAGAGCATATATTTATATTTTAGAAAGGCATTGAGAATGATTTAAAGTGATGGAGAATCCATGATATCCTTAAGTAAGTTGTTCCAATTACCCTCATTCTTTAAAATGTGTGTCTCATTTCTAGCCTGAATTTATCTAGCTTCACCCTCTAGCCCCTGGGTCTTGTTATGCCTCTGAAATCTTCTCATGTAGGTATGTATAGGATGCACTCAAGTTGCCCCTTAACCTCCTTGATAAGCTAAATAGACTGAGTTTCCTAAGTCTTTCACTGTAAAGAACATTTATCCTGACTCTGAATCAGTCTTGTGGCTCCTCTCGAAACCGTGTATAATTTTTCAACATCCTGCTTGAAGTGTGGACACCAGAACTGGACACCGTGTTCTAGTAATGGTCTCACTGATGCTCTATACAGTGGTAATACCCACCCCAATGCTCTTACTCAATATTCCATATTCTTTCATATCCAAATACTGCATTCGCCCTCTTAGCCAGAGCAACTCACTTAGCGCTCATGTTTGTTTGGTTTTCCACTGTAATGCCTAAGTCCTTTCTGACTGGAATGTTTTATGAACAGGTGGGGACTGGAATGTTTTATGAACAGGTGGGCTTTCCAATGTTATTTGATGGAGCAGTATGAGGGGGCTTGGCATACATTAACTGGGAGTCCATTCTAAACATAAGAGGCAGCAGGAAAGAAAGAACAAAATCAGAAGTGGGCAAATTGCCTGGACGCAGTAGATACTGCCACTGATTACAGCAATCCTCCTACTGTGTTTACATGCTGGACTTACTCACTGGGAAGTTTTTCCATGCATGAAAATATTTCCTGTCATGCAAGAAAGAAGAAAGTGCACTACTGTACCCATTCTCTTCAGTCAACGTGGATGAATAACCAGTGCAAAGGGAGTTGTGCACATGCATCAGCTGAAGAGCGGAAGGTGAAGTTTAGGAGAATATGGATGGAGATTCTCAGTATGAAATGGACTCTTTAAAATGTTACAGAAATGTTCAGCTTCATCTTCTGGGTAATTAAGAGCTTATGTTCTGAAGTGAAATATCTGTATGTGGAAAGGAACTATTGGGATGCATCTTGCCTATATTAAAAGTAGAGAGGAGTGGTCGGATGTTCATAGTAAGGGTATGGAACAGAAGACACTTGTAATAGCTGAAGCATCATCTAAACACAAATACCTCCAGCCTGACAGGACTAGCAGTCAAAGCACAGCTTGTAACTTGCCCTCAATTTGTAAAGTGATGACATTTCCAAAGCAACAGACTGTAGAAAATGGGCCACCAGGAAAAAGAGAGAGAGAGAGAGAGAGAGAGAGAGAGAGAGAGAGAGAC